TAGTCTCGATTAAAAGATAGATAGATATGACGTTTGAACTTTGGCAGGCCTTATTTTGACGGAAATACGAACATTTAGCGGACACCTGGGGTAGGGGCTAATGTTTTGCTGTGAAATATCAACAGTATAGATAAAATAGATAGATCTTTAGATCGTTTTTTCAACTTGAAGGCTCAAACAGATGAGAGATAGATACAAACCCAAATAGACGAAATGTATCAATTTGTAGGGTGTCATAGATAGTTAGAAGGATAGATAGTAGATCGAAAATGCCCAAATATGCGGAGGAAAGATGGGGCCGAAGATGACGAAGGGAAAGAAGAGGAGGAGGAGGAGGAGGTAAAAGGAGGAGGTGGTGGTGGAAGATGAGAAGAGTAAGAAGACGTTAAGAGGAAGAAGTTGATGAAGAAGAGAAGGAAGAAAATAAAGAAATTGAAGAATAGAAGAAGAAACAGAAGATAAAGAAATAGAAGAAGAAATAGAAGATGAAGAAGTTGAAGAAGAAGAAACAGAAGAAGAAATAGAAGACGATGATATAAAATAAGAAGAAGAAGAAGAAAAAGAAGAAGAGGAAGAAGAAGTTGAAGAAGAAACGGAAGAAGAAGAAATAGAAGACAATGATATAAAATAATAAGAAGAAGAAATAGAAGAAGAGGAAGAAGAAGAAACAGAAGAAATAGAAGACGATGATATAAAATAAGAAGAAGAAGAAAAAGAAGAAGAGGAAGAAGAAGTTGAAGAAGAAACAGAAGAAGAAGAAATAGAAGACGATGATATAAAATAAGAAGAAGAAGAAAAAAGAAAAGAAGAAGAAATAAAGAAAGAAGATGAAGAACAAAGAAGAAGAAATAGGAAGACAAATAATGATATAAAATACGAAGAAGAAGAAGAAGAAGAAAGAAGAAGAAGAAGAAGAAGAAGGAAGAAGAAAAAGAAGAAACAGAAGAAATAGAAGACAATGAAATAAAATACGAAGAAGAAGAAGAAGAAGAAGAAGAAGAAAAAAGAAGAAGAGAAAGAAGAAATTGAAAGAAGAAACGGAAGAAGAAGAAATAGAAGAAAATGATATAAAAGAAGAAAAGAAGAAGAAATGAAGAAGAAAAGAAGAAAGAAGAAGTTGAAGAAGAAACAAGAAGAAGAAGAAAAAGAGAAGACAATGATATAAAAACGAAGAAGAAGAAGAAGAAGAAGAAGAAGAAGAAGAAGAAAAACAGAAGAAGAAGAAATAGAAGACGATGATATAAAATAATAAGAAGAAGAAGAAGAAAAAGAAGAAGAGGAAGAAGAAGAAACAAAAGAAGAAGAAATAGAAGACGATGATATAAAATAAGAAGAAGAAAAAGAAGAAGAAGAAGAAGTTGAAGAAGAAACGGAAGAAGAAGAAATAGAAGACAATGATATAAAATACGAAGAAGAAGAAGAAGAAGAAGAAAAGAAGAAGAGGAAGAAGAAGTTGAAGAAGAAACGGAAGAAGAAGAAATAGAAGACAATGATATAAAATAAGAAGAAGAAGAAGAAGAAATAGAAGAAGAGGAAGAAGAAGAAACAGAAGAAGAAGAAATAGAATACGATGATATAAAATAAGAAGAAGAAGAAGAAATAGAAGAAGAGAAAAAGAAGAAGAAGAAGAAACAGAAATACGAAGAAGAAATAAGAAGACAATGATATAAAATACGAAGAAGAAGAAGAATAAGAAGAAGAGGAAGAAGAAGAAACAGAAAGAAGAAGAAATAGAAGACGATGATATAAAAATAAGAAGAAGAAGAAGAAATAGAAGAAGAGAAAGAAGAAGAAGAAGAAGAAACAGAAGAAGAAGAAATAAGAAGACAATGATATAAAATAAGAAGAAAGAAGAAGAAGAAGAAAAGAAAGAAGAGGAAGAAGAAGAATAAGAAAGAAGAAGAAATAGAAGACGATGATATAAAATAAGAAGAAGAAGGAAATAGAAGAAGAGAAAAAAAAAGAAGAAGAAGAAGAAACAGAAGAAGAAGAAAAGAAAAAGACAATGAATAAAAAAGAGAAGAAGAAGAAGAAGAAGAAATAGAAGAAACAGGAAGAAGAAGAAGAAAAGAATAAAAAAGAAGAAGAAGAAATAAGAAGAAGATGATAAGAAAAAAAGAAGAAGAAGAAGAAGAAATAGAAGAATATAAAATAAAAAGAAGAAGAAATAGAAGAAGAAAAATGGGAAGAAGAAGAAGAAATAGAAGACAATGATAAAAAAATAAGAAGAAGAAGAAGAAAGAAAAGAAGAAGAGGAAGAAAAAGAAACAGAAGAAGAAGAAATAGAAGACGATGAGAAAAAATAAGAAGAAGAAGAAGAAGAAGAAAAAGAAAAAAGAGGAAGAAAGAAGAAGAAGAAGAAACAGAAGAAGAAGAAATAGAAGACAATGATATAAAATAATAATAATAAGAAGAAATAGAAGAAGAGGAAAAAGAAGTTGAAGAAGAAACGGAAGAAGAAGAAATAGAAGACAATGATATAAAATAAGAAGAAGAAGAA